GAGAGTACATTCCCAATTTTGCTCTCAATACAGTGTTGCTCGTTGTACTTGAACATCCCTAGTATTTTCTTGGCCGCTGCCATCTGCACCGTTTCCAGCTGCTTGACGGCCTTTTCGTTACCTTCCCATACCTCTCCTGCATACTCTAGCTTAGGTACAATCACATTCAAGAGAATACACCTCTTAATCCTAGTGTCTAGGTGTGGGTTCGTAAGGACCTCGTCCATCTTGCCTATCTGAGCTTTACCCTTCCCAATCAACTTTGCTATGTGTGCGTCCCATGAGCACTCCTTCGAAATCTCTACTCCCAGGTACGTATACTTGTCTACTACCGGTAGTTCTTCCTCCCCCCATTTCCATTTGAATTCTACGGTTTTTTTCTTGTCTTCGTTACAGACCACTACTGCGCATTTTCCTACGTTCGCCGACAGTCTCCATTTTTGGGTGTATCCTACCGCCGCATCTATTTGTTCTTGCAACCCTTCTGGTGTTTCGGATACCCCCACGAAATCATCTGCAAACATCAGTCCGGACACACTCTTTCCCCCTACTTGGACTCCCTGTCTTACTGCTTCAACCGCCCTTATCAAATCGTTGATGTAAATCTTAAAAAGAGTGGGTGACATCGTACAGCCCTGGGAGACTCCTTGGAGTATATCCACGTACTTCGAAATTTCCCCATCCAACATCACCGCACTTCTTGTGCATTCTGTCATCTTTTTCAACATCCTCCACATTTTCCCCCGGATCCCGATGTCCCACATCTTTTTCCACAATCCATTGCGCCATACGGTGTCGTAGGCTTTTTGTACATCTAGGAAGAAACAGTATGTCGACGTCTTTCCTACCTTGGATAATTTTACTCAACTTATATACATGGTCTACACAACTACGATCTGGTCTAAATCCAGCTTGTCCTTCGCTGATCTTTTGTTTCCCCTCCAACATGTCTCCCATTCTATTGTCTATCATCTTGCCAAACAGTTTCCCCACTGTGCTCAGCAGGGTTATCCCTCTATAATTCCCCGGGTCAGTTTTATCCCCCTTTTTGAACAGGTTCACGACTACTCCTTCTCTCCATCTCTTCGGCGCGTACTCGTGTTTCCATATCCAGGTGAATATCTGGACCAACATGTTAATCATCCCCTCCCCCCCTTGTTTCAAAAGCTCATTCACAATTCCATCAGCCCCTGCCGCTTTTCTATTCTTGAGTTTCGCTACGCAGTCCTCTACCTCTTCTCGTGTGAACTCTCCCTGCAACCCGTCTACATCACTCCATTCCCTCCGAGATCTTTCAACGTTTTCCTCTGCCCACGAGTTGATTTCCTTCTCAAACTCCGAGTCGAAGTTGTCGTTGGTGGTGGGTGTCCCAAGTTTGCGGTAGTGCTCTACTAGTATTTCCCGCTTTCCTTTAGAACTGTTTACCATCTTACCCTCGGCAGATCTTAGTGTCGTTATTCCCGTGTCTCCCCCTCTTTTCTTGCCCACTATCCCTTGAATTCCTACCCACATTTGCTTCATCCCCCCCTCAAAATCCTCGTTAGTCTTTTGGACTACTTCCTCCCACAACCCTTTCTTCTTCTTCACGACCAACTCCTTCACCCTCTTTCTACTTTCAACATATACTCCTTCCATCCTGCATCTGTTTGCCCTGCCGCATATTTTGCGTGTGACTCTCTACGTACTCGAATTGCTTGCTTGATTTCTTCGTCCCACCACTTCACTGCTCTCTTACAAACTATCAGCTTGCTACCTAGAACTCTACTTGCTGTTGTGTTTACCAGCTCTTCCCACCCTTCTATGATTCTAGACCCGGCCTGGTCCCGGCCTTGGGCATCCTTCGGTGTGCCCATTGCCTCTATCAACTCCGAGAGTTTCTTGTCGTTTATAGCCATCCATCTCTTCTTGGAATTCTACCCTCGTTTCTTCTACTTCTAGCTTATCTATTCTCCATCTGTACATTTTCCTGCGTCGCCTGCTCTGTATGACTATTGTCTGTTGTAGGGCTGTCCACACTAACGCGTGGTCTGTAGTGTCTACATCCGTTGTGCATACTCGTACTTCCCTCTCTTTCCCCCCATTCTCTATGACTATGTAGTCAAGGATGGAGCGTTCTCCTTTTTTGAACGGGGGGGGGGGCTAGGGTGTGTGTGTGTGTAATACCCCACCCATGAACCTGTCACCTCCGTGCAAGGGTATGATGGCCACACAAGAACCGTAGTAGAAGTGGATAGATGATGCACACGCAACACAACAGCACACAGCAGCACTGCACCACTGCTTGATCGCTATGTGTCCACGTTGTAGTGTTACGGTTCGGGATATTCAATGTTCCGCAAGTATACCCCTACAGAGGATTAGGCCGCATACTGCGGAGCCTCTGTGAGAGTTGTTCGGAGACGCCCTCCCCTCTCACAAACCAAGCTACCCATCCTGAGCTTGCACTAAAAGAATAAACCCATAACATCCGCAAGGAGGCCTTTGCTCCGACACTACACCTGCTACTACAGCTGGTACGAGTATCTTCACTATCGGTACAGTCGTTCGATTGCATAAAGAGAGGTCAGTGTGTGTACATCGCTGCATGAGAGTCTCTCATGAGCAGTGGTCTAATTTCATTTCCCGCATCAAAGGCAGTGCCGTGAACGGAAGCTGTATGTACTTGCTTATTCCACACATTAGACCTTCACCGCCATAGACGAACGACTCGTTTCATGGTGTCCAATCCGAGAATCGAACTCGGGTTTCCACAGTGAAGCGTTGTGCCTCAGCTGCATGCTGTTGGCACTTGCAATGTTTTCACCTTGCCCTGTGTCTCCCTTGTTGTTTGTGTGCTGATCGCTGGGGTTTAGCTCTGTCTTTATTGTTTTACTTTTATTTTATTTATCTATTTCGTAATTATTTGTTTCGTGTGTTCTTTCTCTATTAGCTAGGTGCCCACGGTGGGTGACCTGGCATGGTCTACGTATCCCGTTTGTAGCGAATGTCTAACCCTAACCCTGACCTTGCGATACTTTTCCCGACGATCGTTCTTTGTCCGTTGCCCGGGCATCCTCAGGCTGCCTCCGAGTTCTTTTTTGTCTCCTCGTGGGTTGACATCGCTTGTCTTTTCTTTCTTTTGCCATCTCGTGTTTTTGTTTTGTTTTGTTACTCTTGTATTTTTTCGTGGTGCGCCCACTCTCGTGGTTTTTTTTCTTTCATTCTTTTCGCCATCTTGTGTTTTGTTTGTTTTTTTGTTTTTTTTCCGTGATATTCGTGGTGCGACAACTCTCTTCCACGTTCTCTTATTGCATTCCACTAGTATCTGTCCTCACTCTCTTTCGCTTTTTCTTTCCTTTTTCCTTTCTTCCTATTTTTTCGGCGCAGATGTCTTCTCCCGTTCGCTCCAACAACCGCTGCCAGGATCGCTCTCGCTCCCTAGAGCAGTCTTGGAGGGAGAAGAAGGCACGCTCCCAACCCCGCCGCCCCTCGCGCTCTCGCAGTCGGGGCCGCTCTAGCCGTAGGAGTCGCTCTCCCTCGCACTCGAGCAAGCGGCGCCGCTCCACCTCACGTTCGGACACACGGCACCACTCCGTCTCGCCGCCGCCCCGGCAGAGCCGTCGCCAGGAGTACTCCCTGGAGTCCGACGCACCACGTGGCCCCCCGCGAGGCCACCGCGGCACCGGCAACGAGCACGGCGGGGAACCACGCCGTTCAGCCTCCCTCGTCGCCTCCCATCGCACGGTCCACCAAGGTGCTGCAGGGGTCGTCTCAACAGCCGCGGTACATCGAGGAGAGGCATGGGTCACACCGGCAGCTCGAGACGGTCGGGGTGCTGCGTACGCAGCTCCGATTCAGGATCCACGGGCGCCTACCCGCGTGTCCACGCATCCGACCGGTAAGCCCTTCGGTACAGAGGCCAACCAGATGTCGAAGGTGATCGAGAGGGCCCGCAAGAAAGTTGCAGACAAGGTATCGGGTCCCGTGTACGCCGGGCCAGGCCCGGGAGAGTTGTCGATCAGCGACTGCGCAGTGATACTCCAGCAGAAAGTCACGAGCGTCCTTCGTACTCTTGATTCTGGAGTGATCGCCCTCGAACCAGACGTATTTCTCAACGGGTTCTGGGTAACACAACCGGACATTCACACTGGGAGGCGTAGAGAGCTGCTGACCGATCTACTGCACAAACACCTGTTGACGCACAACCAGATCACTTCGGCCGACACCGTACAAGTGTATCGCATCACAGGAGAAGTAGTGGACACTCCACGTCACAGTGTGACGGCTACCGACTGGCTGCGTATCTGTGTGCGCGAGTATGCCCTGACAGGAGGAGCGGTTGAATATGCCATTGCAGCGTTGCAGTCTCTGGTGCTTGGTACACCTGAATCCATGCCCACCGCCGCAGCCCGCGTTTTAGCAGCCTTCCGCGCCACCTTGGTAGATCTTGACCGGCCCCACATCACTGAACAGCGGTTTTTCTGGCGGTACATCTCGGCAGTGCAGATGATAGCCTTGTTTGAACGCATCACCGAGGTGCTCCTGCCAAACCCGCTTGACAGAGCCGGGGTCAATGGGTTACTGCATGAACGCATACACTCTGTCAGCACCACCCTGCGGAAGCTGCG